AAGGAGCGGTGAAACGGTCGGTCGACTTCATTTTTATTTTTAAATTGTTTTTTTGGTGTGAGTGTGAGTGTGACATTTAAATTGTTAATATATTTTTGTGTTTTTTTTTTTTTTTTGCGATCCGAAATTAATTAAAATTCAAAAATACCATTTCTGAGAAATGTTGTTTACATATGTGATGTGAAGCGGTTCTGTACGAACTTTTCGTGCCAGATTATCCGCTTTGACATTAGCTCTACGAGAAATTAAAGATAAAGAAAAAGATGAAAACTCCTCTTTGTCGTTCTGAAATTCTTCCAAATACACTGAAAACGCCGGCCATTCGGTTGGAGAAGATACTATCTTCACTAGGTCTGAACAGTCTGTAAAGAACGCTACATCTTGATGATCTGCACCAATCATACACTTCATCGCCCAGAAAAGGGCCTCGACTTCGGCATGTAGTGGAGATAGACTTCTACGGAGGTTCGCAGCTCACATGGTTGGCGGCTCTCCAATAATTTTTTGTGTTAATTAAGTACTTTGCAATACCAATAAATTAATTATGGTTTGATTGGTAGGTAATCACAGTTTTTGTCAAGGCGATTATGAGATTTTTTGGCTGTTCAAGAAATCGGTTAAAGAAAAAAAAAGACGAGTATAATTGGTAAGTAGGTTCTAACCCACGTTATCATTGCTTTTTAGAATATGTTATTCTAACAAATGATATTAGTACTTAACTAAATTTATGATTTGATAATCACAGTTTTGTTTAAAGCGATGATCATGAGATTTTTGGAGGGTAATGAAATATGATTATTACTGGTCATAGATAATGATTAAAGAAAAGACTATGTGGATGAATAGTTTACCTTAATCAATCTCTTGGTACAGTAAATTCGACACTGGTTTAGGATGAACCGACAAAAGGGAGAGTAAGGTGTTTGAGGTATTAAGATGAACACAACAATGGTAAGAACACGACTGCGAATTAACACAACAATGGTAAGAACACGACTTGATACGATATGAACGCATGTGTGACGTGGAGAACAAAAGGGATGAATTTCTTTTTAGTAATTAAAAAATGATCCGAAATTTTATCATCTAACTAATTTCACTAGAATAATCCATTAACCCATTCATTTGGTTTTTAACGGATATAAAATATAGTAATATTTCGACTAACCAAATAAAAAAAGTTAGAAACTAAATTTACATTTTTTTTGAAAAATTGATGTCCGGTTGAGGCTGTCAGATATAGTTTTATTTTAGTGTTTGTTAGGTTTCATGAATTGCAATTTCTTATGAATAGTTAGCATTTATGGTGTTGGGATTGTCTATTTCCCTTGTTTGGGCTAACTTTTTTCTTTTTTGTTTGGGTTAACTTTCTCCTCCTCGACTAATTTACTTGATGTTAGTTTAGGGCTGAACTCTTATAATTATTTCAGTTTAGAGTTATATTTTCGTGGTATTAGGTTCTAATTGACTTTAATACTCGTTTCTTGTGGCGTTAAAAGGTTATAGCTCATCTAAGAGATCTGTGATAAAACATTAATAAAAGAAAATATACCATATACGGAGAAAGCCAAGTTCCATTCTCTTGTTAATACTATAATATTGAAGTCTGTTTTCATGGTTTGTTGTAGGCAGGCCTTGTGGTGAACTTTAAAAGCTTCAAAAGATAAAATTTGTTTGTTTTTTGCCATGTATTATCTAAAACTTCATTTTCTTAATTTGTAGATTTGTATGGGTCGAGAGCACTGTGTTTTTAATTTGTTTAATCATGTTTTATTTGTGTATTGTAAACCTTTCCATATCTATTATCAATGTTGTTTGAGAAAAAAAAAATTAAAACAAGAGGAGTGGTTCAAATCAAATATGCTCTAAAAATTATATGAACGACACGCATCACTTGTGTGTACGTCAATGCGTCATACTCATACCAGAGTTGACTAAAATATATGTTGATGATGTTTATGTGAAGATCAAAACCGTTGATGTAAGACGGTAGAGCCAAGATTGATGTAAGACAGTACTATCAAGATAGCGAGGTTTAAAAAGACAAAAAAAAATTGCGAGGTTTTTGGATTGAAATTTTGATTCGGATACATTTTACTAACAAGTATAGATTAAATTTATGTAATTCAATATTCTCTATATTTATATATTAAAAAGGTTTTTTGGTGACGTAGCAAGTCTACAATTTTATATATATACTAGATTTTAACCCGCGGTACACCGCGGGATAATTTAATTTTAAAGTTAGTATAAAAATATTTTGTAAATTGTATCTCCTTATAAAATATTTATTTATATTATAGTTTATAATTATTATTAAGTAACGGTATACCACGAGTTCACGAGGCAATTATTAATATACGGAGGATTTAACCCGTATTAAAGCGGTATATAAATATTGATTCAAATTCGTCCGCCATATAAATCCTTTCCGAAATATAACATGTTCCGTAATTTCTTAACCCGTCCCCTGATTTGTTTTTATTTTAAAATTTAATGATTATTTATTATATATAAAAGTTTACAAATCATATCATCCTCTAAGATCACGTGACATTATACCACGGGACAATTTTTGATTTTATACAATCTTTTCTAAATGAGACTGATTTAATATGTCTAATATTTGTGGTATTAAAAAAATGATTTAATCCTTATTGAAGCGGCGGATTAATGATATTTTAATCTTTTTATTATTGTTGATTCAAAAACCCGTCCCGCCAAACCCGTCCGGCAAAAAAAACTCATTTATTTTATTAATGTTCTTATTTATGATATGATTCTGAATCTTTGTCTAAATATTTTAATCGATGTAGAACGTTGAACACACATTTTCGTCAATTGGATAATATATGTCCGTTTTAAAAATTTCGAATCACAGTATATGCAGAAAAAAAAATGATAGGAGAAATGATAGGAGAATCAATTGGATGATTTTTTTTTTACTTTATGTATTATATGATGATTCAAAACAGTTAAAAACAAATCAAACAAAAATGATAGGAGAATCATAATTATAAATCTTAATTAAATCTTTTAAATATCAAAATTATTAAATATGGAATATCCGGTGTATAAGTTGGGTTAAATATAACCCGACCCAACAAATTTTTTGTGAAGGAATTTTTAAAACGGGTCGGGTATCCGATATACCCGGAAGCATTTTTACCCACCCGTCACCAAAGTGTTGTAAAAATACTAGTATAGATATATATTAGTTTTATTATCCCATTTAGCAAATACATTTTTTTTATCCACATCTTCCTTAAACTACTAAACAAACATACATAAATAAATTCAAATATCTAAACTTACCAAATTTAGATTTTCAAAACTCTCAGTCATTACCATATTTAAAACCCTCATTGATTTTCTAGAGATTCACATATAGTGAGACCAATTTGACCCGAATATTTGGAAGAAACTCCACTTTGATTTTCTAATTGTATTTAAAATATACTATTTATTATTAAATAAATACATTAGCCCGGATTGATTCTCGAATTGTGGTTAAAACATGTTTATCAAAATCAAACACAAACACTATATATTTTATAAATGTATTAGAAATTTTTAATAAAGTAATAAAATATCTATAATTTGTTATAGAATTAAAGTAGTTATAAATTAAATAACATAAGAATTACCCGTACATAACACATGTTTTTGTCTAGTTATAATTGTTTTCTTGTTATAGTAAATTTGTTTATGGGTGTAGTCACTCCAACATATATTAAAGGAGTCCAAAATTCAAATTCTAGTTTACACTATTTGAGGATTATTCGCAAGCCCAGCTGGCAAATCATATTATTACATAGCTTCTGTTGATTTGTCTCTATTTCAAAATTATGTTCATACCCTAACGATACTTAAATAATAGCTTTTGCTTAATGATGATGGATACCTTATACCTGCTAGATTTCTACCTAATCGGCCAGTTTCCTTTTGGCCAAAAGAATTAAAAGCATCTTCCACTAAATGCTATATTTTCTCTATTATAATTGTATATATAATTTATGAACTGAGATATTGGTAATCTAATTACTATATTAATACATCACATGCATTACAAAAAGAAGTATATTATGGGAAAGAGATAGATCCGTATAGAAATAATGTGGGCATGTGTATCAACTTTCAACCATGATGAGTGAACGTGGTGTTGTGGATTTAGAAACCTTTTTGTCTTCTCTGTCTCTTTTTTTTTTTTTTTTTCCTTCTCTGTCTCTTTTCGATTGTGTTGACTCGTTAGAACAATTATAAATGTCAAATGAATCTATGCTATAGACAATAGTAATATTTATGTTAGGAACATGGATCGGTGTGTGTTATGGATGACAAGATCTTGCTTGACCAAGCACTGATAACAACGACAAAACTATTAATACAAAGTAGATTTAGTGTTCATGAGGCAATTTGAATTTAATATTTTTGCAAGCTAAGTTCAAAAGAGATAATTGCTTATCAATATAGTCTTGAAACTTCTGAACACATTCTCAATGTAGCTCTTCTTCTCTAAGAAATCCCCTATTGAGAATCTAACCACTAAAAACTTCATGAGTACAATCACATCAAAACCTTTGGCTTTAGGTACTCCATCCTAACCCTCTTTGCTCAATCGTATCCACATTCTTCAGCGAATCGACTCAAACACATCCTCGATCCCTCATGTCGTTTCCAAGATGATATTGAGACCACACTAGAATTCTCTCAATCGCCTTTACTATTACACTATGTAGTATGGTAGCATCTGCACTTACCTTATACTGTTTTGTTTTTATGTTAAGTTTCTTTGGTTATCACTTAAAGTCTAAAGATAACTAGTCGTGTTAAGTTTCTTTGGTTATCACTTTTAAAGTCTAAAGATAACTATGTAGTCGTGTTAAAGACTATCCAAAATCACTATGGTTTGTAATTTTATGGACCAAGTCATACGAAATATGTGGCCAAATCTAAAAAAGCAGGCTTATCAAATCGCCAAACCACAAAACTCAATCATCGACCAATTAAAGTAGTACTGCTTTAAAAATACCATAATATAAGCATCTGAGAATAAAATAAAATAAATCAATCCAATCAAAATCCCTAAATAAATTAAGTAGCACTAAGGTTTTATCAAAATTCGTTGCCCAGGAGCTAACCAAGGAGAGGATGGATAGAGAGAGAAGAAGAAGACAATTTTGCCTCATACCTACTAACTTCTTTTATTTTTCTTCTTAGCTTACTTGTTGTTGCTGATGACCACTGTAAACCGGATAACCTCCTCCGTAAGGTGCTGCAGCATACATTCTCGGGTCAACAGGTGGCGGCATCATGTATCCATAACCATTGTAGTATTGTCCTCCATAGTATGGTTCAACCCATTGGTCTGCATACTCGCCTCTAGGCTGCAAAGAACCATACATCTTTAGTCAGAGATATAAACTAAATGGAATAAAATATCGATCAACGCAGGATAGAGCATGGTTACCTGTTTATTGCCTGGATTACGACCCCAAGAAAGGCGAACGGTTTGTTTACCAATCATAGACCCATTTAATTTCTCCAATGCCTCCTCAGCATTTTCTCTGCAACAAACGTCAAGTACCATATTGAATCAGTGAAAGGACAAGGACCAAATAACTGAGTCAACATCCAGAGTTCATAGCTTCACTACTGCATAAAATGTTACCTGTTCACAAACTGAATAAATCCACATCCTTTGCCAACAGGTATCTTGACAGAGACTATTTCACCATAACCGGCGAAAGGTTGTCTAAGATCGTCGTCAGTAACACTAGAGTCAAGTCCTCCAACAAATATCTGCAATATAAACATGGAAGAATAAAGATCACACCCATCTTCCCACAGTCGCAATTGGGGGAAGACCGCGCATCCAAAATGTTCCATGGAAATTAAAAGATCTGTTGTGTTCAATGATTCCCCATCATGTCGAGGCAAGGCACCATTTGACATATACCCACCCCCCAAGTCCAACAAATATTAAGAAACTGGAACAATATTATGCGTAAAAAGAACATATGAAGATCCTCAAAAGTAGCAAAGTACTTGTTGCTTTAAGATAATATACAAGTAATTAGAGCAATCAGGACACGGCCATGAGATTTGAAACACATGTCTTAATTAGGAAAGATAAGTATCAGACAAAATACCTTGTTGGTGATAACCACTTGGCTTCCTAGGGGTTGCAGGACCAATTCGCATAGCCCGGCCACAACATTTCACACCATTCATTTCCAACATAGCTTTGCTCCTCTCACTATCATCTCCAAATCTCACAAAGCCATATCCCTTTGATCGACCAGTATTGCCATCTATGACAACTTTTGCATTCTTGACAGATGGGTATTTCTCAGAGAATATTTGTTCCAACATAGTATCAGTTACTTCTGGTGCTAAGTCCCCCACAAAAATAGAGAGATCAGGACCATTCTCTAAGCGCTTTTCACCAGTGCTAAAACTAGCCCAGTTTAAACGGAAAGGTTGTTCCGCATTTAACATAGCTTCACCATTCAATTCCTGCAACACCTTCTCCGCAACATCGTGGGAAACAAATTCGACAAATCCATAGCCCTCAGTCAAACCAGTATGCTTATTGCGGATAACCTTAACCGACGAAATCTACATCATAACAAATAAGCACAATAAGTTACCAGACCCAGATCAAATAAAGTCAATGCAAACTAACTATAAAACATACTTCAGAGGTTAACACATCAGATTCGGAAATGAAATGATCTCAAGTTATGTGACACCAGAGGCCATTCACTGGACAATTTCAGTATTATTATACATTACAGCAGCTAAACCCCTTAAAGAGTCATACTTTATGCTCACAAAGACACAGAGGACAACTGGTGGAAGCAACCAAGCTTTCCCAACATTGTATTCTAACAAAAGCTACCAAAACATCAAACTTGCAAAAGACAACACATCAAAACGAAGACTTGATTAAAATATCAGACTCAAACAAATTCAGAGAACATAACAAACTCGACAAACTAGATACTTTCATGAATACAGATTTCATAAAGAATCATACTTTATCCTGATAAAAAAGATAACTTTAGCAGACTAAGATACACTAGAAAACTAATGGAAGCAACAAAGCTTCACTAACTTCAATATTGCAAAAGTCAACACATAAAAATCAAGACTTTGAATAACATATCAGACCATTCACTGGATAGTTTCATGAAAACAAAATCCTTTCAAAAATCATACTTTATCCTAAGAAAAAAAAAAGAACTTTAGCAAACAAAGATACACTAGACAACTAAAAGAAGCAACCAAGCTTCACTAACATAAAAAATCACAAAAGTCAAACACATAAAAACCAAAACTTTGAACAACTTTAGTAACAACAGAGGAGTGAAAACCAAACCTCTCCAGCAGAAGAAAAGGAAGAATTGAGATAATTCTCATCCATCCAATGAAGCAAATCACCAACCCAAATAGTCTTATTCTCAGTATTAGAAGCATTCTGATACTTATTACCACGAGATTGATGATGATGATGATGATGAGGAAGGTGATAAAACTGATGAGGATGATGATAAGGAGGATAAGGTGGCGCAGCATACATCATATGATGTGGCATTACCATAGGTGAAGGATGATATCTCATACCCTTCCATTGTTGTTGTTGTGGTGGCGGCGGTGGTGATGTTACCCGTTGATTCTCATCAACAACCACCGTGGTTTCTGGAGATTGGACCTTCGTGTCTGCCATTAGTGTGGTTTGGAATTAGTGGCGATGATTAGGGGTTTTTTGCTATATATGTTTTCTATGCAAAAGTGAAAGAAGCGACGGCCTTTGAGAGTAGTTGTTGTTGTTGCCCTAGTTAGGTTAGGTTTTTTATTAGTTTGTGTAAAGATTAGGGATTTTGGTCTGATTGATTCAGTTTTTTAGATTAATCTTGACCGCTACGATTAGATTCTACAAGCACGATATATTCCCACTT